ACATGTGTCTCTCGTTTATACTCTTGTCGGTGCAGATGCTCGTAGAGAAGCTAGAAAAGCATTCTTAGCCTTCTCTGCTGATGAGAATACAAAGGAAAGTTTGGACTCACTGGTTTCGGAGACTGAAGTGGAAACTTCTCTGGATCCACAATCTAGTGAAGATATTAAATTTTCTGAAAGCACTCCTGTGAGTCAACTTTTCAGTTTCTCTTTGCAACCAGCTTTAAGTTTTTGATTGTAATTGCTACTGGTGTCATATATCTATTATTATTCATATTTTTCTTAAACGTTACAATCTAATCTTCGTATCAGAATAAACATAGGAGTGCGAATTCAGTTTCTAATTTGCTGCAGAAATTTTTAGATATTACCCTCAGTTACATTGATTTTGATGATATGTTTTTTCCCTCCATTATCTGTTGCAGGTGTATGTTCTCAATCCAAAGCAAGACCTGCATGGTTTAGGATATGATCCTTTTAAGCATGCTCCTGAATTTAGAGGTATCTAGTTTGGGTTTTTATGATGCTTCTGCTGTCAGAGCATTCTTGGTCATTAACTTGCATATAATTTTTCTGAATTGTAGAAAAGAAAAGATCTCGCTTGTCTGCCAGTAAGGAGGTTGGGTTCAGAAAACCTTTGTCAATGAAGGAAAGTCTTTTCGGACCCAAATGTAAGATCTTGACTCACCATTTGTCTTTCTTCCTCTTCTGAATTTGCTCTTCTTTGCTGAAAGACACATACATACTCTATTGCGTATCTCTATGCCAGCTTTTGCTTGGCATTATTATTACGTGCAAACTACTCATGGGGTGTGTTAGTGGCTAATATGAGTTGAACGATCAGCAGGAAAGATTGCTCCGGGTTTTGGCATTGGGGCACTTGAAGAGCTTGATGTTGAGGATGAAGATGTCTATGCTGGTAAGGACATGATGGCTATTTCCCTAATGATGGTTGTTCTTTGTTAATATAAGCATAAGTATTTCTGTTGAGTTTGAACTGTTTCTGTGATTCAGCAATCAATTGTGGTTCTATAGTGCCTGTATGTTGTAAAAGTAATTTGCTTTTGGAAAAGAATAATATTGGTAAAAGCTGCAAAAACCTACTTGATACGTTGAAGTGCTAGTTTTGGATTTTTCTATTGCATGTTTCTCAGAATATGCTGCAATACCAAGTGTTTTTTTATTTCTTTCAGGTTACGATTTTGATCAGACTTATGTCATAGAGGATGAACAGCCAGGAAGACCGAGCAATGACAATAGATTGAGGTTAACCTCAAACGAGCATAACGTTCTGCCAGGTTTTGGAGCTGCTTCGAATTCTGACTACAGTGTAGAGAGGTATAACAAACTAATTTAAATGTCATCACACAATTGCATGTCCAGTGGAGCTCTTGCTCTCCGACTTTTCTGATTACGGCTATTTACTTTCATCTGCATAAATACTCTAATTCATATCATTGTGTTTTTCTGTATTGCACCAGATTTGATCCTCCGAATATCTCAAAGGACTTTGTGGCCCGGCATAAATTTTCTGGTCCTCTTGAGGCTGAAACTAAGCCAGCTGTTTCTGCTCCTCTAGATGTTCCTCCCCCTGAAGATAATAATCTGAAACTTTTGATCGATGGGTTTGCAACTTTTGTCTCCCGTTGCGGGAAACTATACGAGGATCTTTCTAGAGAGAAGAACCAATCAAATGAGTTGTTTGATTTTCTTCGTGGAGGTAATGGTCATGACTACTACGCAAGAAGGCTGTGGGAGGAGGAACAGAAACGCAGTGATCAAAGTAAGCTGCTATTCGAAGTTAAGGTCTCGCCAAGAGTGGAGAAAATGACTGCAGAAACACGTGGCAGCTTATTAGGGGAAAGGCCATTGCAAAGGAGTTTGAAAGAAGCTGATCCTTCTGCTTCTTCTGGAGGCTCATTCCAATTCCCAACCAATCTCTCTGATACATTCACCAAATCAGCTTCATCTGTAAGTAAACAATTTCACACCTCATAAGGCTTTAGATGTGTTTCAAGTAAATGATCTGCCTTTGTTTTGCATGCTTTACTAACATTCTAGGCTTGTCTTTCTCACCTTGAAATAGCAAGAGGCAGCAGAGGCTGTCAAGCCCTTCAAAGATGACCCAGCAAAACAAGAAAGATTTGAGCAGTTTCTCAAGGAGAAATACAAAGGAGGGTTACGTACAACAGACTCCAACAGAGTTAACAGCATGTCGGAATCAGCTCGTGCTCAAGAGAGGCTAGACTTTGAAGCTGCAGCTGAGGCAATCGAGAAAGGAAAGGCTTACAAGGAGGTCAGACGAGCTACTGAACAGCCTATCGACTTCCTTGCAGGAGGGCTGCAGTTTACTTCTGGTGGAACAGAGGTATACCTCTACAGAATCTTCATTGATTGTTCTGTTAATTGGGGGTTCTATGCTCATATGTAAAACTTTTGTTTACAGCAAATCAAAGACACAGGAGTG